TTGCCTTGGATCAAGAAAACTAAACCATTATTCCCATATTTCATAAGTTCAGCCCTCACCCTGCACCTTCCCCCACTTCCAAGCCCATCAACATGCCCATCAGCTCTTTGGTCAAACTGAAGTATCGCCCTTTGTCAGGCTCTGTAGGGAAGGCAGCACCCCCTGGTGGCTTGGTGGACAAGGCTGTTTAGTTCACCTTGCAAGTACTCACAGGGTCAGTCTCGAGCCTGGCTTGCAGGGATTAAAACCACTGCAATCATGGCAGCCAGCTGCAAGCCACACGAAGGCCGTTCTGTGTGGCCCAGTTTCTCAGCACAGCAACATGAGTTTTGTTGTAGCTGCTTGGCGCTGCAACTCTGCTTCTTCCCTCCTGTCTGGCCTCGTCTTCCTTGATTCCTGCGACTCCTGATTGTATCTTCACTTCTGGTTCTGCGATGCCCTGCTGGGTATCTGGCTCTTTCCTGTTCATGAGGCTGCCCTCGCTTTTCGCCCTGTTACTTCCTCACCCTTGCATGTCCCTTGCTTTGCTCCACCGTCTGCCCCACGACATGCCTTCTCCATCACCTTGGTCCTGGCGGTCCTGGCGCAGAAGCCTGCTGCGTGCGTCATGGCACTGCTGATGGTTTTGATAAATAGACCAACCTTGATTTGGCAGCCTGAAAAGGTTTCCCAAGCCCCCACGTTGTCCTCCAACTGCTAACTTGCAGGGCATAGGCAGAATTTTCTCTCAAAAGATTCCTAGATGGCCAACCCCCTTGGCATCCCAGAGGGCACAATCTGCTTAAACGGAGGATTTTCTGGAGGGTTTTCTGCTAGAGAGAAAAAGCAGGTCCTCTGCTTGAGATTACTAAGGGAGAACTGTATATTTCCTCCCACCCTCTTGGAAATACCCATAGGAAGCTGACAGTTAACTTGGAAATTCTTGCGAGTTTCTTGTTCTCCAATCCTGGCCAAAATGGGAAGTTTTGGACGACATGTGGAATTCTTTTCCAAAACAATTTATAATTTTGTTTCCCTCAAGAGCTTCCTTGGAGTCACCTCCCCGAGGAATCAGCACACAGAGCCCCAGGAGACATGACAAGAATATTTCAGCCAAAATTGGCTCATATCAGTGCAACCGAGGGAGTTCGTTTTCTCACTAGCGGGCTTGCCTGTCAGAGCCTTATTCCCATAAGTGCTTAATAGCCCAGAGAATATGACTGAAAGATTACCATATGCAGTGTTGGCAGCTTTGTCGTTAGCGACTTGATTTTGATTCTGCCGTACAAGTTCTGATGGAAGTATGATTAACCTTCGTGTAACTGTGGAGAGGCAGCGATGGGACCCAAGTCCCACCCACTCCGCCACTCAGCGTTTCAGCTGACAGGTGAGAAACTTGAGCCAAACTTCAGAAACTGCAGCATTCGGCAGTGATCAAAAAGTCTACAAGCCGGCTGTCGCTTCCTTGCCGCTAGATCTCTAGCCAAACAAGGGTGTTGCACCAACTAAAGCGAGTTGGCTAAACTACCTGAAAACAAACATGGTGGGCATGTCGTGAGCGGAGCCAGCTGGAGCCGGGGGTCAGACTAGATGGCCTGGGAGACCCCTTCTGCCTTGCTCTGTTTCTGTGTTTCTATTTTGGGATTGCCTGATGGCAGGGCCAAATTTGTCTGGCCACAAGAAGCCAGTGTCACTGCTCCTAGAAGAGTCCAGAGTGTGTTAGTTTGAACATGGTAGAACATGGGTGGCCACCCTCCACCCCCAAATGGCACAGCAGCAGGACGTTGTGGCACATTGGAACAAGATGCCTTCCCTTGTTAGTTCTGCAGACTATACAGAACTGCCAACTGTCTACAAGCAGAAGGGGTCACGTATGCAAAGCATTTTACAAAGGTATCTCTTGCACTTTGGACCACTTCTGGCACGCGAGCCTCAAATCAGGTCTCCGTTATGGCAGTCTATTTATTTGTTGCATTTATATTCTAATAGATGTTTGGGAACTGGATTATGGAACTGAGCATGTTTCTGTATGGTTTTGGAGGAGAAAAGAGAGAGTTGAGCTGTACACGCTGCTACATAGTCCCACTATTTTAGACTATACACAGGGGATTGCATGTTGGGATGATGCTCCATATAAACTCTGCTTCCCATAGATTCAGGCTAGATCCCTTTCCTTAACATTCTACTTTTTGAAGGTAGAGATATTTGACGTGTATAGAGGCCTTTCATTTCAGC